AAAAGATTATATTATATATTATGTATAAATAATATTATATATATATAATATATATATATATATATATATATATATATATATATATATATATATATATATATATGATATATAATATAATATCTAATGTATAATATGTATTGTAATAATATATATTAATACACATAATATAGTATGTATAATATACGCAATATAACATATATAATACATATAATATAATATATATAATATATATGCATAATATATATTATAAAAATAATACATTATAAAATATATGTATCTCCATCTCCTATTATTTCTAACATGGAAATAAGCAAGTATGACGTTCTGTCCCATTTTTGTTTAAACATCGCTGAAAATGTAAAAGTTACATCGAGTTCACGATTATTCGCAGCACCGTATATGTATGCATGGTTTCCCATAGATCGTCGCATCAGAATTTTGTAAAGAAATCGATTCGAACGAATAAGCCAACGGAAATCGTCGTTTCATCGTTGAAACGGCACGACACGCCGCAGATTTTGGTCAAAACCCTGGATGCGCTAGATACATTTTGCGCCCGGATTTGAAATCGGCGTGCCAAAATCTATGGGAAACGATGTGCAACATGCTAAACCTTAACACTAAACCTACCACTGCGGTCTAAATCACCAGGAACATATTTTGTTCAGTTTAAAATTGTTGAAATTACAGAATTTTTTCTTTCACTGGAATCAATTAAATATATTTAATTTATATTAAATTTATTTTATTATTTATATTAATTAGAGCAGTCATTTTTAATGCTCAGTGGGTTTAATATTAAAAGAAAAGGTCCAACTGTAAATAATATCGGATAAATCACGATTTCGTGCAATTATTTCAATTCGAACATTAATTTTCGAGGTTATAAAATGTTCACACACCGTTCCGTCTATTTTTCCATTATTCCGCAACGTTTCATCAGTAACGTAAAAAAAAATGGCACCACTTTATCCCATCTTGATTGAAAGTTCTTCGATTATGGCGCAGCTTTGTCATTTCGCCGCTCCATGCGTCGCAGGCGACTACGAACGCGAGCGCGAGCGCGCGCTGAATTCCGGTCGCGCCGATCCGGAGATCACCGTCGGATCGTTCTTCGGAAGTTTGCAAGAGTTTTCGATCGGGACGCTGATCGAACGGTGGATCGAACGCGTACAGCGCGTCTCTCTGGTTTTATTTTCTCAAGCGGTTTCCCACCGGCCGCGCGGTGCCGTGTTTTCCCGAAGCGGGCAGGACATCTATATTTATGCCGCGAGGCGACGCGACGTTCGCGTGCACGTAGTACGCTGCGCGGCGCGGCGGCTTCGATTGGCGGCCACGTGAGCGCCGAAATACCAGGTAGTTCGCGAATAATAAATTCTCGCCTACGGGTGGAACGGTTGACGTGTTGCCGTCCGCGATCCTGCGCGGCTGTCGCGCGGCGCGACGCGTCGCGATCGCTGGCATTAATCGGAAGAAACCGCGTTCGCGCTCGCGTTCGGTCGCGCTCGGCCGTGCATTTTCCCGCGACACGCTGCTAATCCATTATGCAATGTCGGCGCTCGCAGATCATTCGATGAAAGCCAGAGGACCACCGCAATGGCTGGAGCCGGACCAGGTGCTCTCGGTTCAGGGACGCACCGGCGTGGACCTCGTCGCCGAGCCAAAGCTACGCTGGACCGACGTCTTCGACGAGCTACGATTCGAACTGTGAGCAACCATTTCTGCGACTCGACCGCTGCCGTTTGTTTTCTTTTTTCTTAACGACGATTAACCCTTTCGGTACGTACGCGCTGTCAGCCGCGGCACTCCGCCGCGCCGAAAATGCGCACATAGCACAGTAGGTCGGTCCACTTTTGTACGAAGATTTTCTTAAGTAATAACTGTGCTTAATCCGTTTCTAAATCTTTCGTTTCCTGTAAACATTCTGTAAAGGGCCTACAATATGTTCAAATCGATGAACAAGTTTCAAACAAAAATGTAACCTCAAATTTTGTAAATCAATTCAGATCAAACGACGATTATACCTGTAGCTGCTTTTTCAGAATTCTTGTAAGAGAAGACTTTATTAGAATAATTTCTAATATGTCAGAAATATGGCTCGCACGAATGCCAGATGTATTCGGGACTCGTCCATACCGGTCATCGGATGGATGCCGATATACAGGGTGTCCCAAAATTATGGTATTTCCGGGAAATGAGGGGTTCCTGGGGACATTTGTAGCAACTTTTTCCTTAGTGAAAATGTTCTACGATGCTTCGTTCACGAGTTATTAACGAAAAACACTAACCAATCAAAGACGAGCTCGGTTGGCGCAAGGCGGCCGAGCCAATCAGCGGATCTGGGCTTCGCCCGGTCGTTGGTTCGGCCGCCTCTCATTGGTCACTGTTTTTCGTTAATAACTCGTGAACGAAGCCTCGTAGAATATTTTCGCTAAGGAAACAGTTGCTTCAAATGATCTCGGGAACCCCTCATTCCCCGGAAATACCATAATTTTTGAATACCCTGTATATCTGGCGCTCGGCCACACAGGTGACCAGATGGATGCCGAATATATCCGGCGCTCGTACTGAAAGGGTTAAGCCGTCCGTTTTTCTTTTTTCGTGTTTCGTCTTGCTTTGGTTGTTGCTACTGGAATTACTAACCTAATTGAATTAATGATTAATTAAACTTGTAATTAGAAAGCCTTTGTTTAACCCAATATTTATGTCACGCGAGTGCTCGCTCAATTAAGTATCGTTTAATGTTAACCGGGAATAAATCTGTCGTCTACTTTTATAAATAAATATTAAAATCTCTATCTATCGTGTTTCGTAAAAAGCAATTACTATAAATAACCTTGAAATACAATGTTCATAGAAATGCCAAAAGATGCCTAACACGGTTCAAAAATGTCTAAAACACGTTGTTATTATCAACGCTGTTATTATGTTATTATGTTATATTACGTTATTATCAACGCAGTTGACGTCATTCGTGCAGAAATTGTTTCGAGTGCAGCAAAAGTAAGCTCGCTGTCGAACCGAAAGCTCCGATTACGTAACAAGAATAATTACCAGTTCGGGATATTTAAAGAAACAGTAAAGGAATCGAGTGAATAACATCGGAGGTATTCCGTCGCGATGAAATTGGAAGTTCATAACCTCCCCTCGGTCGTGTCATTCTGTATCTAGCATGCTAGAGTAAGTATAAGTGTTACTGCGGTTTCTCAATGAAGGCGAACTTTGACAGAGAGAATGAGACCTTTCACGCCAATAAATTGGCAACTCGAATTATAACTATTATTCTTCAACTCGAATATTTATTATACTTTCCTCAAAATATTGGATCTCTGAAATAACAAATTTCATTAAAAAGCGTAACGTGAAGAAATCATACTTGTGCATATATTATTGAGGTTATGTCAAGGTTATATTATATATCTATTAATTAATATCTATTACTGTGCGAGCCGAATATTGCCAATCTTCCGATTACTGCATGTCAAATATTGCGGACGTTACCGCTTAATTATCCGTTATATTAATTATCGGATTACCACGTGTCAAATACTGTGGACATTTCGATTACTGCGTTACTCTGGAATGTTATATTTCCGAGATATTTGTGCAAAAGAGTTTCCTCCATGAATTTCTGGCAAGGCTAACGCCACGTTTTCCATAGGGTGGCATAACCTTACATTTTTCCTTTTCTCTACATCGTTTGATATTTTCTGTTCTCTTTCGTTCGACTTCTTCCTTTGGACTTTTCCCATTTTCTTTTAAATGTACACGCGCAGCTACGATTCCTAGGATCAAGATATTCTCACTGCAGCACTTTGCAAATTAGGTATGGGTGCTCTACGATCGAGTGTGTTCGCACCGGTTCATCGAGAACTGCGCCGTATAGGTTAAGGTACGCGGTTCGGTAAAGCAACCGCGGTAATGTTCGCGCGTAGTAAAAAACTACGCGCCAAATATGTGCTGTGTTAGACAATAATACTTGAGGCTAGACGATAGCGACAGCGTGCGTCGATTTTTGATCAAAGTGACGATTACTTTATCTAAAAATAACGCTAAAACTAATAGCTTATTATCAATTACCAAAATATAAATATATTTCGAATGAGCGTTCACAGCTGTCATTACGAGTATTTCATAATACTCGACGTTTCCATAAGCTTCCATCAATCAAGAGTCAATAAATGAATTAAAACTGCGATCGCTGTTACTCTCGCGTCACAAATTATCGACATTAAACATATAAAAAATGATGAAATTAATTTCTAGAAGATTACACGCTGTGAAATGTTAAGGTTATATTACTTTTATAAAATATCACAGTGTTTATGACGTCCGCGGTAGTAACAACACACTTCACCCTACCGTATATTCGGTGCCGTTTACGCATTATCGTTCATTCTCGACTATTGGCCCTAATTTCGGTGGAAACCTTGAAACGTGCCAAGGATCAAACGCGGTTTATTTCGAGCTGTCGCGCACTTAATTCTCGCGGAGGACCAAATTATACTCTCCGGTCTATCGCGTGTAATCCTGTTCTGTCGCCGGCTTCTCCCGCGGAGACCACCGATAACGCGACAGATAGCGAGGAAATCGCTGAAACCCGGGTGGAACGGTTTCGCGGATGATCGAGCTCTCCTTGGGAGAGCGCGCGAAACTAAAAATAGCCGCGCGAAATACTTAATCGTGCTCCTACAAATTTCCATAGCCGTTCGATTCTACTCGATCGATCGATCCATCGGATCGTCGACGAACGAACGCCGCGACATTAATATTTAACAATTAAAACGATCGACTGAATTTTAATCTGTTCTTTTCAACTTTGCGAAATTAAGGGAAACAATAATAAAAATAAAATAAATATATAATATAAAATATATAAATAAAAATAAAATAAGTATATAATATAAAATATATAAATAAAAATAAAATAAATATATAATATAAAATATGTAGGTAAAAATAAAAATAACGCGGGAAAATTCAACTTCTTTTTCTCGTCCCGTTTCGAGCTTCCATTCGAAAAATCGAGAAATTGAAATCAAATAAAATCGTTAGAATAAAATATCGTCTTTTCGATGGAATTTTTTCGTGGGACGGTAGGAAGAGCCGCGTGACCAGTAAGGTGAAAGATTTGGTGCATAGGCATTTGAACGCTTATTTCGGGAACGCGAGACATGACCTCATCTAGCCTCGCCGCTTAAATAAGACAAAGTCTCGCCGCCGCGGATCGATGGCAATTGTTGTCTTTTTCAGACAATCCGTCTTCTGATTCACTCGGCCCGAGTCCGCTGTCCGACGCGCTCCACGAAAATCCGCGATCGTTCGTCGAGCGTCTCCCGAACATTCGCGGACGTTCCTCGACGCTTCGACAGCCGCGCCAAGTTCAAAAATTTTCCAGAGATTAAAGCACGCTTCGTTCGACTCGATGGAAATCGCTAAGCGAATGCGCGAAGCAAGAACAATTGATGTTGATTTTTTATTCACCACTTTTACGTCAACCATAACACGATAAACATTTAGCGGAGTTGTTTTCTCAGCCACGCGAAACTCTGCCTAAACAAGATTTAAGCAATCAAATAAACACAGATACGGAATAATGCTAATTTCTCCCTAATTCGTGCTCAGATTGCGCACAAAAATGGACAATTTGGGAAGAAGGAAGTCTCGTTTTTATAGTTACCAATCGTCGATAATTATAAAAACGAGCCTCGAGGCTCGAAGAATCGTATCTCCTCTACCTAAATCGTCCATTTTCGTTTATTAACCTTTTATTAACATTTTGATTAACATTTTTGTTCACTAACATTTAGTTTATTAACATTAGACTCACGGAGCCCTAATCAAAATCACTAATTATTTCTTAATTCATCATCACTAATTACTTCACTAATAGATCACTAATTAGATCATTAAATGTATCACTAATTATTTCTTAATTCATCATCACTAATCATTTCACTAATAGATCACTAATTGGACCACTAAATGTATCACCAATTATTTCTTAATTCATCATCACTAATTATTTCACTAATAGATCACTAATTGGATCACTGAATGTATCACTAATTATTTCTTAATTCATCATCACTAATTACTTCACTAATAGATCACTAATTGGATCTCCAAATGTATCACTAATTATTTCTTAATTCATCATCACTAATCATTTCACTAATAGATCACTAATTGGACCACTAAATGTATCACCAATTATTTCTTAATTCATCATCACTAATTATTTCACTAATAGATCACTAATTGGATCACTGAATGTATCACTAATTATTTCTTAATTCATCATCACTAATTATTTCACTAATAAATCACTAATTGGA